CTTAAATCCCGCGTCTCATCCCGCTTCTACTCGGGCGAGTTGGTCCTTCAACTCGTCGAGTCCAAGGCCAAAAATGCAAAATTAGTTAATTAAAATACATACTAGGAACCAGGTGCTACACAAATCCAATAGCTGTTAATTTTTTTATCCAACCATCTTAATAGGTTGCTTGGTTCCTTCACCCATATTGGTTCTCTATTGAACCCCTCTCTATATATAAATGATCTTTATTTATGCCAAAAATATATGAAAAAAGGACAATTTTGTCAAAATGGTAATTTTATAAAATATATGGTTGACTATGTTTTACATAAACCTTTAATGAATATATATATATATATATATATATATAATATATATATATATATATATATATATATATATATATATATATATATATATATATATATATATAGAGAGAGAGAGAGAGATGGGTTCAAGTATAAACCTTTTATCTAGTGTGTGAATGTATGACCAAATCTCGTCCATTGATTTCAAAGATCTATCTAGTGTGTGAATGTATGACCAAATCTCGTCCATTTCAAAGATCTAGATAAGGGTCTGATGGTAATTTGATTTTCTATATCACTTAATGATATTTAATAACCTCAAATAAAAAACCTTTAATTAAGAAAACTAAATATAAATAACACCCAATATCTTACTTTCTATATGTATATACGTTTGTATTAGGGTATGAGAAACAAATTTACGACCGTAATAAAGAAAATGAACAGAGGTGCTGTCCTCCATCCTTCCTCGGACAGCCCACCTCCGACGATACTTAAGGTATAATATCTGACATTGCGATTGGAAACTTGGGTTCTCTCGGGGTCTTATTTGCCTCGTTCGTATTCATTTTTACTGCAATTTCGTTTATAGCGAACCAATCCACCGCCTCTGATGATATTATTCTTCATCATCTATACGAATCTGATGGTTACCATTTGTAACAATTGACTTACGATTTTGCTTGCTTTTTCTCATTATCATCGTGCATCATAATCACATTGTTCCTCTCCTATGCAAATAAATTTCGATTTAGCCTGTTATTGATTTCATAGATCAAAGTATGTTGATGTTCATTACATCTCGTCTTTGATTTATCAAATGTTGTATCAATTATGTTGTTCCTCATAAAAAAATAATTGACGGCTAATTAGCTCTCAATTTTCTTCCTACTTCTTGCCCATAGTGTCATAGGTAAACACAATTACTCAATTATGGCGCAATAAGTGTATGAATGTATTTTGACCCTTCGTTTAATAATAAGTTGTGATGTATTTTGACCCTTCGTTTAAAAATAAGTTGTTGTGAGTACAGGTACTTAGTTGTAAGTCTTGCCTTTATGTATTCACATTGCATAATAATTAGGCATAACTGGATGAAATTTTTATGTTTTTCTTGGAACCTTTTCATATTTGTGGAGGCATAATGTGTCAAAGGAGTGTGGTAAAAAGTATAAAAGAGTGACGACCTACGACAACATCATCTTTATTTGAACTTTCTTTAAGTTCTTGTTTTACAATCTTCTTTATGATATGGGATTAAAACATTAAAAACATCTATTTTTTTTGGAAAGAAATATGTGTTGTGGAATAGGGATTGGCATTTTATTTAAATGGTAATGAATTGTGCAAGTTGTTGTTTATTACTTGATTTCACTTGTACAGAGTGTATAGTTGTATTCCTTTCATTTAACTAATATAATGGTTATTTATTCCTTGAATTCTAGGTTTTTGTATATTGTCTCATAGCATTTCAACTTATGCTCGCCTGTAATGGCAAAACTTCATTAACATCCATCATTTTAAGTCCTCTTTTACACCATGTGATTTATATTTTTTTACCCTTTAGTTAAGTGGGATTTAACAAAATTGAAGTATTTTAATTTATTCGTTCTATATGAATTATGCAGTGATGTTGCTTACAGTTTACAAGGCACATAACGTGTGAATGGTTCTTTTGTTGCTTCCAGAGAATGATTTATGATTCTTCAAGAATTGTAATAGAATATTAATACTTCTATTAATCAACTCATTCGTAAAGAATTAACATTTATTCTTAAAGAATGATTTCTGATTCTTCAAGAATTAACAGTGATGGTTTAAGATGATGAAGTCTTGCTTTTTCCTTTTTTATGTAGATAGATGGCAGGAGAGGATGATGATGAAAGTGGTATTGGATATCGATAGGGGAAAATGAAAACACAAAAAGTTTTAGGCATTGTATTCTTAAGAATGCTTAAATTCTTCAAGAATTCTTTAGTTGGATAAAAATTTTGTGGTGTTATAGAACTAGAACACTATATTCCCCAAGAAGTGTTTCAGTTGAACAAAACATTTGTAGTGTTATAGACGGATTCTTCAAGAATAACGACATCTTCTTAAGGAATGTAGTATATATTATAAATTTTTTGTATATTTTGTAAGCATGATGACATGTTCTTAAAGAATGCAGTATATAATGTTGTCTATATTCTTCAAAATGTTATATATATTCTTGTTTTTTGTTATAAAAATGGTTATTTTATGTTATAAGGATGTATCTTATTTTATAACATATATTATTGATTATATTCAAATACATTTATCTTAAAGAATGATATGGTATTGTCTAATATATACATGTATATTTTTTGAGAATGTTAATTCTAGAAAAAAAAACTCTTTGAATGAAACCTGATTCTTTAAGAATAAAAAAATAAAAATATATGGTCATATATACATACTGAATGACGACCTATTCTTAAAAAATATGATTTAATTTGAATGTGTTGAATAAATAATAATATTTGATATAAATTTAATTAATTAACTTGACTTAGTTGCCTAAAATGTAGGTAATTTACAATTCTCTCTCTTAATAAAATCTCATATTTTCCTTAATAATTAATTTAATGTAATTTTATAGTAAGTGATATCTTATCCTTTTTTTTAATCTAATGGTTATAACTTGGTCATACATTCACACAATACTTGTGATTCACAATTGATCCTAACTATATATATATATATATATATATATAGAGAGAGAGAGAGAGAGTTAGCTTCATATATTAACACTAAGTATTGTGTGAATGTGTGACCAATTGTGGACCATTCACCATCTAAATGTATTATTGGAAGTTTACATACAATTTTTTTAATAATCAAAATAAAATTTAATAATTATGGAAATTCCCTTAAATCATTCGTCAGTTATAAAAGCTTCATCTTCTTAATGCTTTCACGATTGCTTCACCATCAGAAGAATATATCTATAATTTGAACATGTTTTATTGATACATATATAAATAATGGTTTTTTAAAGCGTTTGAAGAATGTTCTGTTGTTCTTTTTCTTCTAGGCCTTCTTCCTAATAGTCCTCTTCATAAAAAAACTTCTTAATTTAATTAATCAGATTAAGTATCTTTCATGTATCCAAAATTCTTAATTTTTACTCTTTATTTGCATTCATAGATATCATTTTGATTTTCTTTTATGCTATGTATATTATTTAGTCATTTTGATTCAACACACTGTTTTTTATTCTGTAAGAATGTTATTCCTTTCATTCTTAGAGAATAGTAATAGATTGTTTTTTGTTTTTAAAGAACGTCATGCTATAATTGAACTTGTATCCAAATCTTTTAACATATATTCTGAAAGAAAAGAAACACACATATCTATCAACAACGTATTGATTTCTTTTCTCACGAGAATAGTTGTTTAGTGGTTAAAATATATATATCAATCAGCGCACTCTTAAAGAATTAACTTTGAAACTTAAAGAATGAATTTTGATTCTTCAAGAATGTCATACTAGAATATCATTCTTAACCATTCTCGTCATCATGAAACTTTAACTAAAAAAATCAATTCCTAACCATTGTCGTGATATATCAGAATCTTTAATTAAAAAAAAATAATTATTAACCATTAATATTGAGGAATCGTCAAAAATATATTAACTTATATTCATGTATTATTAATGAAATGTATGCGTGATAATGAATAAATGTGAAGAAGTAAAGCCCAATTATTTCAAGAAGGTTATTATCATATACATATAAATCTAACATTTTTTAAGAATATTTCTAATAATCGGTAATTTAAATTTTTTATGAATGTATACATTTAAATGGTGATTCATAAAAATATTAATTTGAATATTTAATTGTTTGATTTTTTATTATTTAAGTTGACTTGTTTGTCTAAAATAAAGGTAATGTTTATTTCTCTCTTTTATTAAAATGTCATATATTCCATAATAAGAATTTAAGTGTAGGTTATATAGTAAATGATATCTCATGTTAATAACATGCACCCTAAGATCACAACTTTTCATTATTTTAATCTAGTGGTTAGAATTTGGTTATACATTCACACAATATTTGTGATTTATATTTGATCCTAACCCTATATATATATATATATATAGATATATATATATATATAGATATATATATATAGATATATATATATATATATATATATATATATATATATATATATATATATGAGCAGGGGTGGATTTAGGGGTGGTCACCGGTGGCACTGGCAACCCCTAACTTTTTCGGCCGCAGTGGAAAATTTTTCGAAAATTTTTAAAAGTTTTATTTTTTCTACTATCGTGCAACCCCTAACTTTCCCGTGCACCCCCTACCGAGAAATCCTGCGTCCGCCCCTGTATATGAGCTTACCGTACATGTGGTAGAAATGTTAGAATAAATGTTAAATAATGAATGAAATGTGTGACTTTCATAAAATACAATTGTTGAAACAAGTGAAATAGATTCTTCTCCAATAAATTTTGAACTTTTGTCCGCAAAAATTTACTTTAATCAATAACATATTTAACATAAACACATTGATACAACTTACATGTCTATGTAGTTTATCTATAAACAATGACATACATAAAATACCCTGAGGGTATTATTGTAATTTGCTTCAACTACCAGTACCACACTACCACTGCGAGCAAGTAGCCAAAATTATTGAAATATTTTCATTGTCCGCCATGTTGTCAAGAACTTTGTCTCTTTTTCGCTCTGTTTATCTCCTTCACATCTCTTTCTGATTTTGCAGTTAAACACTTTGCGTGATTTCCATACACGAAAGCTATTGCAAATTTGCAAGTTCCATATGTCAAATGTTGTTGTTGATGATGATGATGAAGTAGAGTTATTTTTACGAGACTTTCTGTTTGAAAAGCCGACTATAAATTCTCCCAATCTCAAACTGATCGACTCATTGATTTCGTGGGGAAGAGATCCATCAATGGAGTGTTTCAAGCGTCGGATCTTAATATTTTTTCTCGTTGTCGCCGTGATCAATGGCGAACCTATTGTTCCGGCGTTATGCTTCTTCGGCGACTCTGTATTGGACGCCGGAAACAACAATCACGTCGCTACTTTCCTCCGAGCAGACTTTCTTCCTTATGGAAGAGACTTCGTTGATCATAAACCTACCGGAAGATTCTGCAACGGAAAATTAGCAGCCGATTACACTTGTAAGTACTCGTATCATTCGTTTTCAGATCAAATAGTAGTTCAATTTCCGATTACGAGATCTGGTTCATTAGCATTCATCGTTCTTACGATTCTGTTAGCTACTTCGATCGATAAAAGTTCAACTACTCAACAAATCAGCAATAAGTTCGACGGAAATTTCGATCGACATTAATGATCGATTTCAAGTTTTTAATCGTTTCTTTTTGTGTTTGTCTTGTATATAATACAGCTGAATACCTTGGATTCGATACATATCCACCGCCATACCTGAGTCGACCCGAAAATCAAACACTGCTACTCACCGGCGCCAACTTCGCTTCCGCCGGCTCCGGTTACTACGAAGGAACAGCACTAATATACGTAAGAAATCTCTAATTCTTTTGCTCAAATGTAGATATTAGTTCGAGATTTAGGGTTTCTGATAGTTTCTGATTAGGGGTTTTTGTGTGTGTGTGTGTGTGTTGCAGCAAGCGATTTCGTTACGCCGGCAACTGTCGTATTACAAAGACTGGCAAAAGCGAGTGGTGGGGATGATCGGAAGGGAGAAAGCTAACGAAATATTTTCTACTGGGATTCATATTTTGAGTGCTGGAAGCAGTGATTTTCTTCAGAATTATTACGTCAATCCTTTTCTGAATAGAATCTATTCAGCTTCGCAGTTTTCAGACATTCTTATGACGTCATATATCACCTTCGTAGAGGTATGTATAAGTCATCAACGTTGGATTAATTGTTATTTAGAGATCGATTGATCAAATTAAATGTTTTTCTTTCTATTCTTAAAAAAATAAAAAATTAAATTAAAGACTTAAACTAATTTTTTATCTGAGGAAGGTCACTCTTGAACTCATAGTAGTCATCACAGTTCACACCATGCTACCAAGACGGGAGTAGGTCGTGTTGGGTATCTTGTCAACATTTTTTCTTGTCTTTTTAATTTATTAATATACATATATAAGTAATTAATAAATAAATATAAAAATTAAATTGCTAGGCTACTTCTTTTCCGATAAAACAACTCAAGTTTGGAAACCCTTGGTCATTTTATCGGTCAATTTTAAACTTAAATACTATGTGAATTATGAATCTTAAATTTTGTGGTTTTAGACATTGAACATAAAAAATTATTCCTATAGTTTATAGAAAATATACCAATATAGTTTTTTTTTTTTTTTTACATAAATGGTTCATATGTCTAAATAGTATACTCTTTCCGTTTGACATTTTTGTCATAATACTTTTGTATTTTGACAAATTTGGTACTTTTATAGCAAATAAATTACAAAACACTCCCTTAATTTATCGAAAAAATTATTGTGCCGAAATTTTTTACAGCAAATGGTTCATATATTTAAAAAAACTTGTTGGGTTCTAACATTATATTTAAGTTCTCACTTGATCTTGAGCTTATATTTATATTCGGATTTTTGTTAGTATTACAAAAAATTTCTAGGTCCACCTTCTTTTCATATAAAAATGGTTTGAACTTTGAAGTTTGAAATTATTCACTCTAGTTTAACACAATCACTATGTACACAGGGTCTTTATGATGTCGGAGTAAGAAGGTTTGGGGTGATAACACTACCACCAACCGGATGTTTACCGGCGGCCATTACTTTCTTTAATTTAGGAAGCAATAATTGTATGCAAGAGCTAAATGATGACGCTTTAATGTTTAACAAGAAGTTAAATGATACATCTCAAAATTTAGTTGTCCGATTTCCTGATCTCAAAATTGTGGTGTTCAATATCTACGACACACTCCTTACTATGATTAACACACCGGGTGCTAGAGGTAACTTTAAAGGATTTTGATTAAATGAAATAAATAGCAATGTATTTTATTTATTTTCCATTAATTTTCAAAAAAAAAAAAAAAAAAAAAAAAAACAATGTCTTAAGTTTTAGTAGGTGACCGATAGGGTACTGCTAACATGGCATGCATATCATGTCTGTGGTAACTTCGACGTAAGTTGTAACTAGCTAGTTACCTACTAAAACTTTAAAAATGATTTTTTTTAATTAATGAAAAATCATTAACAAAAAAAATATTGGATAAATTAGAAATCTACTTGTAAACTTAAAAGACTTTTGTAGCATTAACCTTTATAACAATAACATTAACATCACATTTTGTCTCCACTAAAAGCATTGGCAATGATTAAGCACGGATAAAAACTTATATATTATGTCAATCAATAAGAAAGTTATCTTTAAAAACATACTCCAATGCATAATGTTTTTTGAAATCTTTTTTAATAAATCATCTATTGGAATGTTCTTTAAAATATTTTTCCTATAATTTGTTGTTTTTGAAGCATAAATCATATTTTTGTTGGTGTTATTTTATTAAATTATATAATTAAAAAAATACAATGGTTATAGTTGGTGTTATTTTATCAAATTATATAGTTAAAAACTAAAATACAATAAGAATATTATAATTTGCATTTGCATTTAATAAACTAAATTCATTAGTAAAAAACAATAGAGTTATAAATATACAATAACATTATAGGTATAAAACGAAATGTTATTAAAATGTGGGGTCATTAGTAATACTACAATAGATGTTTAAGTGGTTTATAAATAATAGTTTGTTGATGGAATGGTAAAAAAAAAAATAACTATGCTTTCAGTTTTTTATTTATTAATACATTATGCTTTGAAAATTATATCCAGTTAACATGAAATTGATATACTTTGGTAAGCTTTCCATATACAATATTGTAGTAGAAAATAATGAAAATTAATGAAACTATGTTGTTATTTCTTGTGTTACCATTTTGTCTTAGACTAAATGCATGAAATTAACATATTTTCATTTATTTCTCCATTATATGATCATATTTTCACTTCTCTCTCTAACAAATTATACCATCAATTTGTTTTCTTAATAAGACGTTGTACGTAAAATAATATCTCTAATTTTGTCCTTATTTTGACATTATACTTTAAAATTTTAGTCAAACCACTTATTAGCTATAATTAAGCATGGTTTTCAAAGTACAATATTAAAATTAAAAAAATGAAAGTAGATTATGATATAATAAACAAATCAATCCAAATGTGTTACTATTTTTGGATTTAATTAGAACACTAACTGATTTATATTATTGGTTTAGGTTTTTGTGAGTCAAGAAAAGGTTGTTGTGGAACCGGGACACTTGAGACTTCAATACTTTGCAACGAAATCTCAGTTGGTACGTGTCCAAATGCAACGGGTTATGTGTTTTGGGATGGGTTCCATCCCTCTGATACTGCAAATCAGTTATTAGCACAAAGTCTCCTTAGGCAAGGAATACCCTTAATTTCTTGAGACATTTATATTTTTATTTTATAAGATTGCTTTTATTTATATTGATGTCAATAATAATAATAATAATGTTGTCTAAAGGTTCAAAGTTACACTAACATGTTATAAATTATTTATGTTTACTCCTTTTTTTGAGATTGTTGTTAATGTAAATAAAGTTACTATAAGTTTAAACCATGGTCGAAATGTGACTAAGTTGTTTGTTTTTTAAAAGGTAAACTATTTGCAGTCTGCAAACCATTTATGCAGAATATATGGACTAAACGTTTGGAGTCTGTAAACAATATTGTTTGTTTTTTAAAGTCTCTTGACTACATAAAAAACTAATTTTTTAAACTTAAAAAACTTATTCAACAAGTCTAATTTTATAACACTAAAATTTAATTCATACAACCACCATAACAAATTTATTTGAAAGCATCCATTTCATATTTTACATGAACTAATAAACTTTTAAATTGCAAAAAAAAAATCAATTTATTTCAAATTTCAAACAAAAAATAATAAACAACAGTTATTTCACTTCACTTATCATTTATCAATACTTATACTTTTCTATTTAGTAAGCTACTACCTGAGTTCCATTTCCAAAATCTCGAGCATCATTTGTTGCAACTTTCATCAAAATCTCTTGTGACATTCCTATTTTTCACGGCCAGAAAAGACCGATTTTGTTTATGCTTTATAAAAATCAGAGTACCTCTTTTAATAAAAATGTTGTGGAATTTGTTCTCAGAAAAACATGATAAATACGTTATCAAAGCATTTCCGAAGAAATGTATTTTTTATCCATTTTAAAGCATTTAGGATGTCATCAGTAATACAAAAACATAAGCATAAACAAAACTTACATTCATTTACACTAGTGATCTACATCTCTTTTAAATCCCTCAGTGTAAAGTAGCTTCATATCGACACCTGTGATACAAATAAGCTTGAGTGGGTCAAGTTGGGAAATCTGGTGAGTACATAGGGTTTTCAACCCACAGTAATTTAATTATTATGTTAAACATCAAACAATCAACCCAATTACTCATCCCCATTATCTTTCTTACTCTTAAGGTCTACCCTAAGAGTCATCTATCCTGCATTCGTTCATTTCGAAGTCCATTGCTTCCAGGGTTTATATGACAGGCATTAAGTCCATAGCTGCCAATGCTCGTTCGTAAAGCACTAATTCCATAGTTGCTAAAGTTCATTCATCGGGTACTAAATCCATAGCTACTAGTGTTTATCTAATAGGTACTAAGTCCATAGCTACCAACGTTTATCTAACAGGTACTAAGTCTATAGCTACCAGTGTTTATCTAATAGGCACTAAGTCCATAGCTGCCGATGTTATTTATTAGGCACTAAGTCTATAGCTGCCAATGTTTACTCATACCATATTTCATCTCTCATCGTTCATCTACCCATGTTTTACCCAACATATTCGTAGATATAAAATGCATATACAGTTTAAATCATTTAAAACATGTATAAATTTGTTCATCCAGCATAGAAAGCAAGTATTCAAATAATATGCACACATAGCACGTAATTTATATAAAATACTTCATATCTATGTGTAAGATGAAAGTAACTATGCACTCACTTGATAAGGTGGTGACTTGGTACTCGGACAGCACTTCATTACTATTAAAACAATTTCCCTCGGACAAAACCTAGTATCATTACCACTAGAGTTTAGTCTAATGTTTGACGGGACTAATTAATAGTCTAGCTATTATTACTATTATATAAGCGTTAAACAATACTCTTCACCCACTATGTACAGACAGGGGCCAGACCTGGAACACCGGAGGGCAGGATCATTTTGGCATATAGCACTTCTGAAATCCAGCAACCCAAGCGGCCCTTCAAACCAGATTCCCCGTACCGCGAGTGGTTAAAAAGATATTATAATGACACTTATATAACTCATAATAATATCCCAAATACTTATTATAAGGTCCTAATAACATTACTATATTGAAACATAAGCTATACTAAAGTTAGGGTAGCCGTAGCTCACTTACATCGGGTTTTTCTCAAAACTGGGCTTCGCTGGAGCAGCGTTCCCGAGCCGAAAGGCTCTTTTCTTGGGGCTTCGGGAGCCTCAGGGCTTCCTTCAGGTGCTAGGGGGTTTACCTAGACTTTAGGGGGGTTAGGAAGGCTTAGAGAGAGATTCTAGAGAGAGAAAGATAAGTTGGAAGGTGTGAGAAATGAGGGTGCCCCGGCACTCTATTTATAGGCTGGAATTCACCAAAACTCGTCGAGTTGGCCTCCAACTCGTCTAGTTCCAGGCTAGGTGTCACCATCTGGTGGCTAGCCTTGGGGAGGAAGCAACGGCCAGGATTGCACCACGTCACCCGATTTCGCACAACACCTTCCCAACTTAGAAAAATCATAACTCTCGCATACGAGCTCCGTTTTCGACGTTCTTTATATCCACGCATAGGCGGGATCATAATCTACAACTTTCATTTGGACTCTGTCGGCTAATTCTCGACCGATCTTAAATTTAACAGTATGAGGAGATTAGATTGTTAAATGACCGCGAAAAATCCGTAACTCCTTCATACGGACTCCGTTTTCGTCTGTCTTTTTACCGTTGAGTTCCTATTAATGAGATCTTCAACTCTCATTTAGGTCGCGTAAGCCAAAAACCGCTCGAACTAAAATTCAAGTTTCGAGCCGTGCACTGCTAAGCGAAATCTTATGGGCGTTCTTTTTTTGTATGTTATCGGTTTAACGTATAGTACAACTTTTGTTTATATCACTAAGGCTAAAAAGTCATCTATCATAAATTCACTATTTACGTCTCCCGGTGCCGTGCCAGTTTTGCCGTAAAACTTCGACGGGCCATAACTTCTTCGTTATAACTCGGATTTCGACGTTCTTTATATGTACGGAACCCTTGTAACATATACTACCACTTGGTTAAGATTATTACTTCTAAATAGTCTTTCATCAAAAACTCATTTTTGATGCTCATTGTCTCTAAATTGACTAGCCCGGATCTACGGGCGTTACATCTCTACAGATTGATGCTCTAAGTTTTTAGGTCTTACATGGACATCATCTATATGGGTTCTTGCATTGACAACCTATATTGATGAAACTGGATTATCAACACCATCCTCACATTCATCCAACACAAAAATCCTACAATATGTGCAGGAGAAGATTTTCAAGAATTTTAAGGTGGGTTTCTTGGTTCTAGATGTCCATACTTATCCTTAAGTGTTAAAGGACTAGGAGACATCTTTTTCTCCAACTCGGCTATAAACAGATGAGCATGCAGAATTTCGCAAAACCATATTTTGTAACGACTGAAAAACCATAGTGAAAGTTTTCATTTTAAAAGAGATAAAATTGTTCCCATAAAACCAAGAACCATCAAAATCATTGTTTCACAAGATATCATAAATAAAAGTAGGGTATCAAAACATAACATCTCTTCAAACCATGAAGACTATTGGATGATGTGTATAGTCACGCCTTCGCCTTGCTCTGATCCTCAAAAGTACTTAAAGCAATTAAATCCACAACTGTAAGACAAAGCATAGTGAGTTCCCTAAAGTATCACATACAACAGAACCCAGCTAAAAATAAGACAACTATGGGTTATCTGTAACCCTATGGGTTATCGGCAACCCTGAGTTATCAGCAACTCAACTTCAGCAATTTGAGTCATCAGCAACCCCAGACTATCAATAGCTCACATACTGCAAGTTGGATTATCAGCAACCCTCGAGCTATCAGCATCTCACATACAACACACTATAAAAAGTAACATAGTGAGAAAACTCACCTCACAGACAAGCAAAAACCTCTACAACTCACAACACAGAAAGACAGGCACCACGTCCATCTTAACATGTATTCTAAGGTCAATTCTCAACTTATGACCTAAAACCCTAACATTTGACCCAAGGTTAAACCTAGTCTAAAGTCAACGGTCAATAGACAATTCAGCAGACCACCACGTTGTGGCAAGACCCTTGCCACGTCGTGGTCTAAAATATTCATTCACAATCCTTGAACATGTCATGCTATGGCCAACTGTTTTCCATGTCGTGGTTAAGACAGTCCAACTACGACAGAAAAGCTCACCACACCGTGGCTAACCCCTGGTCTCGCTGTGATTCACCTGGCAGATTCAACTTCTTATTAGGTCCTTAATCCTTTAAGACCAACACTTAAACTTTCCAAAAGGCTTAATCATGGTAATAAGAGCCATAAAAATCCTAAATTTATGAACTTAAACACTCTATGCAAGCCCTACTCCATTTTAGGTCAAAAAGGGAAAAATGTGACTTTGTTTCATTACATGTCTCCAAAACACTCTTTGGTTCCAGATCCAAAGAATAAAACTCATTAGGATACATGAAATTGATAAAAGTTGCAAGTTTTATCTGAATTCCTTTTATATACTTCCACTAAAACCCTAAAAAGGGACTAAAATGACAAAAAATACGCTAGATCTATGAAATATAACCATCAAGATGGAGATTTGGACACTTACAAAGGTCTAATATATACACAAGTTGATGATTTTCTTCTTCAAGAATGATACCAAACACACCAAAAAGGCTTAGAGGAGAGGAAAGATGTTAGGGTCATTGGAAGAACACTTCTGGAGAGATGGAGGCTAGGGTTGGAGGAAGCCCTAGCTCCATCATTCCTTAAATAAGGCTCAAAAATCGATCCCTAAGGTTTTGGGCTCATGAAGGCGCCATGTGGTGGCACCAATGGACAATACGTCGTGGTGACAAGGCAATCACCACACCATGGTGAGCCTATCACTACGACGTAGTTGGGCCTAAAGGACCAAATCCAACTTTTAAATTAATATACAAGATATAAATTCATACCAGGATTCATGTGTTACATATTTTCCAACAGTTTAGAGGTTGCCAGAGGCGGTTCCGGACTCCATAATGGCTAGGAACGAAGGAGAATCATGATAGGGTCAAAGGGAAGTTTGTGCATACATTGAAGTGGCGAGGAAAGATGAAAAAAATGGCTTGGAATCTATCTTTTTTTTTCTAAAAAATAATAATAAAAAAACAAAAAACAAAACGTTACATTACTATTGTCAGGTTTTCAACCAAACGACACCTTTTCACGTTATTGTATCACAATGTATTTTCAATTTTGATGAATTTTGTTTACATTTTTATTATGTTAGATTTCAGTAAAAATAAGTATTTCAAAGTATTATGTATTTTGAATCTATTCTTTTCAGATTTTGAACATGCTCTTGTTATTTCGTAAATGTTACTTCATGAAAAGAAAATCCAGAACGTACCCAATCGCATGAAAGGTACGAACCGTCATAGATTTCAAAATTCCTTAATAGTTTTACCGACTATTTCAAAACAAGATTGGTTTAGTCTGAAATTTGGTTATATCAACCAGGGTTTATGCAGAAAATCTCATTTATTTTGTGAAATTTTTTGATAAAATCTTAAATGGTTTTTTAATAGAAAAGTCTTATTATTTTGAGAAAAATCATATGATATATTATTTCCTATTAAAATAAAAAAAGTTGAGTTTTTCATTAATTTTGGCAAGATGTTAAATAATCGACTTTTCTGCTTATCTTTCTTTAAAAGTTTATAAAAAAAATTCTCAAAATAACGAAACTTTTCTATAAAACACTAATAATAATAAAAAAAAAAAAAAACTTAGTCATTTACTTATAATTATATTTTTGTGAACACCCGTTTATATAAATTAAACAAATAACAAGTTACTTCGATATTCAAGTAATTCAACCATCTATCAAAACTATGAAGAACAATCGACTACGGAGCTTGTATATAGTTTAGAACACCGTAGGGGTATTCTCATGATTCGCGCGCCTTTCTTTGTCAATGGCCGCCGTTAGCCTCCTTACCACCACGGCCTCAATCTCTCGCCCCCAATGTTTACCACAAACCTCTCACTCATCCTCTCTCCTTCACCTTCCAAAACCACACAACTCAATCTCTTCTGTAAGAACTCCTCTTTCTCTCTCTAACCACACCAAAACCCCAAAACCTCATCATTCTAAAGACTACTGTAATTTGCTTAATCTATCGGTTGAACATGGCGACATTGAACTTGCCATGGCTGTCCATGCTTCAATTCTCAAGATTCAAGAGAATACCCCATACTTGTTTAACGCACTCATCCTGGCTTATTTCAAATTGGGTCTCACGAGTCATGCTTACAAGGTGTTCAATTGTGTTAAAAATCCAGATGTGGCGACATTTACCACTATGGTTTCTTGGTTTGTTAAGTCAAATCGCGAAATTGAAGGTGTAAAGCTTTTCTCTGAAATGAGGAGGTTGGGTATTCAGCCTAATGAGTATAGTTTCGTTGCTATATTGACTGCTTGTTCACGGATTTTGGATCTTGAATTGGGTTCTCAAGCTCATTGTTTAGCTATCAAAATGGGGTTTTTACAAGATACATATGTTTCAAATACTTTGATGGGGTTCTATAGTAAATGTGGTTGTTTAAACTATGTGCTCCAGGTGTTTGACGAAATGCTCCAGAGAGACATTTCATCATGGAACACAATGATATCGGCTCTGGTAAAGGAATCCATGTATGAAAAAGCATTCGCATCGTTTCATGATTTGTCACAATCGAATGAACTTACAATCGACCATTTTACCCTTTCAACCCTTCTAACTGCCTGCACGGAAAACGATGCGATCATGGCAGGCCGTGAACTTCATGCTCATGCTCTAAAATTCGGACTAGAAAACAACTTAAGTGTTACCAATGCCCTAATTGGATTCTACACCAAGTGCAGAAGCATAAAAGACGCAATTGTTCTGTTCGATAGAATGCCTGTTAAAGACATAATCACCTGGACTCAAATGATATCTGCGTACATGAACTCAGGACTTCTTGAAATCGCACAGGAGGTGTTCGACAAAATGCCTGAGAAGAATTGTGTCTCTTACAACTCCCTCTTATCAGGGTTTTGCCAAAATGGGGTTCCTTCAAACGCATTGAACATGTTTTGCAAAATGATCACACAAGGTTTGGAATTAGACGATTTCACCTTCACTAGCGTCATCAATGCCTGTGGATTACACGCAGACAAGAACACCAGTGATCAGATACACGCGTTTGTTCTAAAATCCGGGTTTAAATCAAACAATCATGTCGAATCCGCATTGCTTGATATGTGCACAAAGTGTGAAAGAATGTCCGATGCAGAAAAAATGTTTCAAATTCTCATCGACTCATTAACCCAATACAATTCTTCGATCATATGGACAACAATGATTTGTGGTTATGCAAGAAACGGATACCCATACGAAGCAATTTCATTATTCGTCAAATCCCAATCCGAAAACACAATAATCGTCGATGAAATTGTGTCAAGTACAGTTCTTGGTGTGTGCGCAACATTAGGGTTTGATAGAATCGGTGAACAAATCCATTCAATTGCTATAAAATCAAGTTTAATCCATGATACAGGAGTAGGAAACGCGTTAATTGGAATGTACACCAAATGCGACAACATGACAAATGCGATTAAAGTTTTCAATCTCATGAAACAACACGACATCGTTTCATGGAATAGTTTGATCTCGGGTTATATTTTTCACAAGCAAGGGGACAACGCATTGGAGATATGGAAACATATGAAAACGAAAAACATCAAACCAAATTCCATCACTACCCTTTTAATCATCTCAGCCTACACACACACCATGTCCAATTTGGTAAATTCATGTTACACATTCTTTAACTCCATGAAAACGGTTTACAAAATCGAACCGGATTCAACCCATTACGCGTCACTCATTCGAGTTTTTGGTCATTGGGGTTTGGTTAAAGAGGCCGAGGAGATAATTACGAAAATGCCCTTTGAGCCGAATTCGTTTGTGTGGAGGGCTTTACTTGATAGCTCAAGAACTCATATGAACACGAGTATTGAAAACAAAGCTGCAAAAGAGATTCTTGGAAAGAAACCGAATGATCCATCTACTTACATACTTATATCTAATTTATATTCTGCTTTCGGGAGATTTAATTGTTCTGAAACAATTCGTGAAGAAATGAGAGAAAAGGGTATTAAAAAACGGCCCGGAAAAAGTTGGATTTTTGTGGAAAATAAGGTTCATGAGTTTTACGCGAGAGATAAATCGCATGCGCGATTTAAGGATATTTATAGTGGTTTAGATATATTGGTTTTGGAGTGTTTGAAAATTGGGTATATGCCGGATACGAGTTTTGTGTTGCATGAAGTGGAGGAGGGGCAAAAGAGGAATTTTCTATATTATCATAGTGCGAAATTGGCGGTTACATATGGGATTTTGATGACAGGGCGTGGGGCCCCGGTTCGGGTTATGAAGAATATTCTTCTTTGTGGAGATTGTCATAGTTTTTTTAAGTATGTTTCGGTTGTTACTAAAAGGGAGATTCATGTTAGGGATGCTTCGGGGTTTCATTGTTTTGTTAATGGTGAGTGTACATGTAAAGGCTAAGTGATTGAAAGTTTTGTTTGTTACATTAGATTTTGATCATCAGATGATAAAGGTATTTATGTCTATTTATGTCTTTTAACAGACGAAATGTTGAGGTTGTTTGGGTGATAAACAAGCTAATATGATGAATATACATGTATTTAATTTTAAAATACTTAGTTGTATGGTATTAGGTAATGTCATATTTAAATGGTAATCAAATTTCAAATTTTTTGTACCTCAAACTTTGTTTTTCCTTTATGAGATGTTTATCGCTCAAGTTTTATTTTTGTTTCTTTTAAATAACTCAAACTTAAATACTTATCAATTTTTTATGAAAATTAAAATTGTTTTTGACTTGCTATATGTTTAGGTGTTACAAGTTAGAACTTCAAAATTTTCTTTTTCTTTGACTTAGAACATGTTAAAAAATCATCCTTTGCCCCCGTGACAAAATGTCTCTCATTGATGTGCTACTACAAGCATTATGGCCTTGAAGTTGAAGCATCCATCATAGGAGCTTAATGGAAGCTTATTAGGGTCGTGTAGCGTTTGGAAGCGTTTAGGAGCTTCTAGCGTTTGACAAAACGTTCCGTTTTAAACTATTAGCTTTGTTTGGCAGCATTAGACAACAAGAGCGTTTAGCTTTTAGGTTAAAGTAAACGCTTGAAAATCAAACGCAACCAGGTAATCATAGGAACAAAGAGAAATTAAACGAATTGTTTTTCTGTTTCTTGTTTAATGGAGTTTTCTTGATGTTGGTAACTTACAAAACAATCAAATGTTAAGGTTATGTAGGTGGATTTAGGTGTTAGTTTAGGAGTAGGTTATATATTGTATTTGCGGGTTAAAAAAATGGCATTAGTTACATGGAATTGTAAGTTACGGTTAATTGCAATCCATCGAATGAACACACCATTTGCCAAATGAACGCCATAAATGTGCATTATCCCTGATGGTTATGTAGGAAAATTGACAATTATGTTACCTGGTTAAGCTATATAGGTCCAATTTCTTTATAAATATATATGCTTCCCTTTTTCTCTTAATCTTACATGTAAGAAGAATAGTTTGCATTCCATCTGATACACAGTTGTGGAGTATTTTATACTGTGAGAGGTGAATTGCTTCTTCAAGACCTGGAACACAAATCATAACCATTTTTGGAATTAGAGGTCTGTATTGAAAATAAAAAGGGGACATGAGTAGGCCCTTGTTTTCTTTTTCCATTTTATCTGTCACCATCTTCACTCTATAAGCAGTTGGTAAAATTCATATTTGTTCTGTGGTTTTTACCATTTTACACGTAGGGACTATTTTATCTTGTTTTTACCATTTTGCCCTTGAGGACTGTTTGATCTTCTTGGGTGCTACTGTGGGGTTTACATCTAATGATAAGCACTCTTTTGTCATCAATTTCTTTGAGATTGAAAGCATGTCTATTGTCAAGTGCTTCCTGTGACAACCCGGAACTTCAATCTTGTACAATTAATCAATTCAATCAATATTCAACTAGTTTTGTCGATTTCTAGTACTATTCAAGGGTTCATTTAAGTGTTCTAAGCTTGTATATAACCAAGGTTGAGTTTAAGAATGAGTCGGAGTGTTGAATAGTGAGAAAATTGGGCCATACACACCTCTTGGAGGAGTGTACGGCCATACACACGGGTGTGCGGCCGCACACCCACTCCCTTGGCAGCACACTCACTTTTGGGCAGCACCCTTACCCCTATATAAAGGGTAGCCCCTTCCTTTCATTCCTTTAGCACCTTGGCAGCACACAACATCATTTCCTCTCAAGTTTCTCAACCTTTGGACCTTCCAAAGCTTCAAAAACGTGAGTAATCCATCCCTTAACTTCTTGTGCATGAAGAACCTCTTGATCTAGGCCTTGAATCATGAATGTCCCGTCATGTTCTTCATCTCTTTGAAGGAGTGCGGCAGCACACACATTTTTGCGACCATACACACACACCATAGGACCACAAACCCATTTCTAAGACCCTAAACTTGTACTACAACCAAGTATGGGCCTAGGACACTTCATGGATGCAAGTATGGAACTTGAAAACATCTCAAAGGCACCTTCCATCATGAGTGTACGGCCGCACACCCTTTGGGCCGCACACCCATGGCCGTACACACCTTTAAAGTGGCCATACACCTCACTCATGCAATCCTTTGAGTTCCTAACACTTAGTGCAAGTAGTCCCAAGTTCTTAGAATGGTTCTTCATCACATCTAGTGGCGAAATACCATCATTTGACTCCTTTATGTGTCATTACATGTTATTAGGATCGAATCGTGTTCAAGGTTTCACTTGAACACCCGGATCTTCGTATCGATCCTTCAATCAAACCACTTACCCAAGGTGAGTTCATACCCCTACATTTTCCGTATTTTTAATGTTTTCAGGGGGGGAATACAAGCTAAAAAAATAAATGTTTTCAAAATTATGCAAATTTCATACTTTAACCCTTTTGTACTATGTTGAGCATAAGGGACGTTTTCACTAAAATTGCATAGTTTCCGGACACACTATTCACTATACATGCAAACTATAATCGGTATAGTTTGGGATTTTTCTAAACATATCAAGTATAGAAATTTTCACTACTAAACATATGCACTAAGACATAAACAGTTTACAGTTTACATCACTACTTTATCATGGTATTCATAACTGTAATTATCACTACATACGGTATACATACGAAATTTTCGCTATGGTAGAACGCTACTACACTGCATGTAAACTAGATTGTACGATACTGTGAGGCGCTACTTCACTATTGTACCCTTAGGTGTACAGGGATAAATCCTATCATAGTATAACCATAGTCTCCTGGAGGGAGAGCATGAGATTTGTGAATAGATCTATTCGGGACTGACAATCCCACACCCGAACTGCTAGCTACAGTTGGGCAGGCATGCCCAGGGTGACAAATGTCATTTAACTCGACGCCTGAAGAACGTTGGAAAGGTCTCTAGTCGTATCAAGTATGGTTATACGACTCACATTATGTATAAATCATCTTTAGTTTACAACCCGGCACTCTTCAATAGTTTTATTCATTCTAAATAGAACTACTACACACTACAACTTGAGAACTTTCAGAGTTTTCAAATAGAACTGAACATACAATGGTTTCACATACGAAATACTTATACATCATGATTAGTATTAGCTAATCACATGAAGTATTATTTTCGCATATCACTACGGTTTTCAGTAACAAACATTCACGAATTCATACAGAATTGAGAACACTACTTTTGCACTAAAGAAAATATCGGATTTTCTTGAAACTATACAAAACACTTTTACGAGCTCATCAACAAGTTTTCATTACAAACTACCGCTTATGAACTCACCGACTTTATGCTGATATTTTCAAACTGCTTGTATTCTCAGGAAATCAGTAGACAGGTACCTGTTGGATTTTTGAGAAGCTGGAGCAATAAGAGTCTCATGTTTATAATTTATATATACTCTCTAATGTAATTCAAACAAGTTTTCAAATGGATGTAAACCTTTTCATATATGTATACACTATGATGGTTGTGTTGCTATGGTTGCTATTATACATTGGTTGTGATGCTATACATGACGTCCTCCGCCCCGTAACGTTTCCGCCATCGGTTTCGGGGTGTGACACTTCCCCTATCCAAAGTATTTGTGTTAGTCTGTTTGTTACCTGTTGCCTCTAATTCTTATTCCATTTTTTGTTTTTACAGAGCTTATCATTCTTTTTATTCTCCTTATAAAAATTTAATAATTTGTTATTTTAATTCAAAGTTAGGTACTATGACCTTGAATAATGACAATTGGAAAAAAAATGTGATTGGCCAGATAAGTCGGTCATGATTTTGTGCGATATATTAAAAAATATATCATGAAGAATGGTCGTACCTCTCCAATTAAATGGCAACACCTTCAGCCAATTTTTGATAAAGATGCTAATACCAAGTTAAATAACTACAAAGTGTTAAAGAACAAGTATGATGGAATGCGAAAAGACTATAATCTTTGGAAATCCTTAAAAATTAGGGAGACCGGTCTTGGTTGGAATGAGAGTACACGACAACTAAATTGTCCAGATGAATGGTGGGACAAAAAAATTAAGGTAATAAATTTGAAAATATTTTTAACTAATGCAACTTTCTCGTTATCTTGAAAACTAACAGAAAAACATTATACTATATAGGAAAACCCAAATGTTAAGGGAATTCGAAAAAAACAACCTTCTTTAGAGCTACAAGAAGCATGGGATCAAATATTTGGGGATGCGGTTGCGAGTGGTGCAGACTGTGTGGCACCATCCATGGATCCAAGTACTCTCAATGCTATGCCTCATGTTATTATTGATGATGAAAATCCTACAATGGGTGATGATGTAGCAACCAATGATCATGTCCCAGCTAATGATGACACTTTTTTCTCTTCTCAAAACATTCGACACTCTTCTCACTTGGATAACTTAGAAGAAGAAAACGCCGCTTTTTATTCAAATTTCATGAATTGGGCAGGCGGTGTCTTGTCACCGAACAATACTGGGGAATCTACTCAACATCAAAAGAGTTCTAAAGAAAGTTCCAAAGTTAAACCTATACAGATGGAACGTAAAAATAGAGTAAGCTGCATGTGTAATGTTTAAGGGATTTATGGCTCAACAAAATGTCATTCAAAAACGTACTCTTGAACTATTAGAGTCAGATACATATACTGTCAATCAAAGTCATGATTTTAGTATAAGTGCAGCTGTAGATTTGATTAATCGAATGGTTAATGATGGGATAATGACAAGTGGGAGTGAGTTGTGGTGCTTTGCAATGAGTTTGTTTGAAGATCCGATAAAAAGAGAATTGTTTTTAACTCTCCCAAACGATGTGGGTAGGCTAGCATGGCTGAATTATAAGAATAACATCGACAACTAACTTTTTTGTTTTTAATTTCATCGATGATTTATTATTGATAGGATTTTTTTTAATTTGAGTAGGTTATTTCATTTGGATATTGTTATATTTCAATTTTTAATGTTACATATTGGATTTATGATGCCTTGTGTTACGATTAATTTAGAGATTATATATGGTTTTTGCATATTTCATGCTTATATTAATCATCTTAAATTGGTGCTTGTGTTTGAATGGATATTGAAAGAAAGAAGAAGAGAACAAAACATTATTATTCACAACGATTATCAGACTCATGCTCTGCAAGTGTTCTAGTTACTGCATACTTTTTCAAATACATGTATAAGGAACCATGTATGACATCAACTCAAACAGGAGTGTCTTGGATGAATGAAATTTTGAATGGTCATCGTATTCGATGTGTTAATGCATTTAGAATGCACCCAAATGTGTTCCTACAACTAGCTAAAGAACTTGAATTGCAATATGGATTGGAGTCAAGTGATAAAATATCAGTTGTTGAAAAGTTGGGGATTTTTTATACACTCTTGCCTTAGGTGTGTCCAATAGAGATGTTGGGGAGAGATTTCAACGATCTGGAGATACGATTAGTAGAGCTTTTCATGAAGTTCTAGAGGCAATAACTTCTAGAGGCAACAGATTCAAATGTTTGGCACGTGACATTATACGACCAAAAGATCCAACCTTTCAATTTATACCTTCACAAATCAAGAATGATAAAAGATACATGCCCTATTTTAAGGTATTATATTTAGATATTTCGTTTAATTTTTTAATTCAATACTACAATATTATTACTAATTTTGAAATTGCATTTAGGATTGCATTGGATGTATCGATGGTACACACATAGTGGCATGCATCCCTGAAACTCAACAATTGCGTTTACATTGGTAGAAAAGGGATACCCACATTTAATGTAATGACAACTTGTGATTTTGATATGTGTTTTACCTATGCATCTATTGGGTGGGAAGGATCTGCACATGACACGTGTGTGTTCCTTCATGCTATTAACACGCCATCAATGAAATTCCCCAAACCACCTGAAGGTAAATTATCATAATTATCTTCATTATTTTACTATTATTATATAAATGATGTTACAATTTTTTATTTTTCACCATTTTAACAGGTAAATATTATTTGGTTGATAAAGGTTATCCAGATAAAAATGGATATATGGTTCCATATTCCAAGACAAGATACCATCAATCTCAATTTCAAATTGAGCCTCCAACTAATATGCAAGAGGCTTTCAATCGTTCTCATTCATCATTGCGAAGTTGTATTGAAAGATCATTCGGAATCTTGAAGAGTAGATGGAAGATACTTAATGGAATGCCTAAATTTAGTGTGCAAACTCAGATTGACATTATTATGGCCACATTTGCTTTGCATAACTACATTCGTCGTAGTTCTGAGGAAGATAGGTTTTTTAATTTTGTTGCAGAACATCCTGATTGTGTACCAATTGATGAACTTCGTGATGTTCGTGGTAGTGACACGAGTAGTGAAGACTTTTACGAAGGATCTAATAATATGAAGCGTGTCCGTAATGATATTGCTACTTTAATATGGAATGCTCGGCGTTGATGATTTTATTACTAGATTTTTTATGTCGCCGTATGACTTTAGGTTTTGTAATAGTACCTAGTTATCGAATATTTTCTAGTTTTAAAAAAAAATAATTTAGACTATTATTTTTTCATTATTATGTTTCTAATTTATATTTTACAAGATGCCCTTTTATGTAATTTTACATGTTTTAAACGCTTCCAGCTACTTTTGCCGAACACTTATATAACAAATAAAAGCAACAGCTACCTGCTAGTTTTGTCGAACACACCCTAGGTCAAATAAGCTTGTAAATGTCTGTTTTTTTAGAAAAAAAAACTATTTAAAGTTATTGATTAAAATGACCACATTTAAAATACATTTATCCTTTAAATACCATCTTTTAAAAATATCAGACCGTTAAATGGGCTCATGAACTTATGAATAAGTTTGGCAAACACAACTATTTTTTATCTTTTTCTAACACAATAATTCACGAATTAACAATATTAATGAATTTGATTCACACAACTCTTTGTTAAAAAAACAAGCAAATAAAAATTTACCCAAAAAATGTCTTACAATGGATATAACCATAAACCTCTTACATATTGATCTTGAGTTCAACTTAACAATGGAAATAAAAGGAAATTGATGAAAGTGAGAAAAAAGTAAATGAAATTGGTTTTCTAAATTCATTCTTAACTTTCCTTCAAATTTGGAAAGAAAAAAATAAAATGTTTATTTTTCTTTTTAATTATCTCCAACTACAAAATACAAGTTTCTTTTCTAAATATCAACTGCCTTAACCACATTGGTTAAAGGTAACTATATGTATATTTGTAAAAAGTATATATCTTATAATCTTGAAAAAATAATGTTCACACTTTTTTTTTGTCTAAAAAACCATTTAACTACATTAACAATCCCTCTTTAAACTTCTCAATTATTTGTTTAATTTATAGGTTTTCTACTTCATCTAAAGCAATAATAAAGTTTTTTAAAAGATAAAATAATCATAACTCATAGTTACATTATTCTAAGCTAATCATATATAACTAACAATCCAATGTATTATTTTCCTGTCATGGTCCTTTTATTTTCCTTAGTTTCCGTATCAACTTCAATTTTGGCTATATGCAACAATAATCACACCTAAGACAATTTGTACTCTTTTTTTTCCATGAACCTAAGTTTATTAAGAACGAATTAATACTACGACAAACCAACGAACAAATTTCATTAGATTTTAGCTTGGCTTCTTCTATTACTCATTCCTGGACAACATGTGATGCATCAACTAAACTACAAGTAAATTAGCATAAGAAAAATGAAAACTTTCAATTCCCATAACACGATGTGACTAAGAAGGATTGGTTCGATTTCTCCATAAAATATAGATGTGAAACTTTCATCATTGCTCAAACAACAAAGTGACCATTGACCCAAAGTTGAATGCCATAAATAAAATGTTAGATTTATGGGGGGGGGGGGGGTTAAGAAATAATACTTTGGAATTCTAAGAATCGTGATTACATTTTCAAATTGAAGTATTTAGGTGGTACTCCACAATCTTAATGAAAAGTTATGATTTTCATACGTACCAAGAAAATATGACAAAAACGGATTAAGAATATATTTGTCTGAAAATTGTCACTAAACAGTTTTCTATCTCAAAACTGTCCAAATTGCCACAAGACAGTGTGCAACAGTCATGAACTATCACAAAACGGATTTTAAATAAGGCCAAGACAAAAGTCAAAAACCCAGCTAGGGGCTCTACCCCGTGGACCTCGCTCCCAGGGGTGTTGCCTCCAGATCCCCGTTCGTTCAGAGGCTTCACCCCTAAATTACAGTCTACTTTGAATTTTGATCAATATCAAACAAGTGTGCACTCCGCACTATCCTTACTTGCTTAATGTTTATCAAGATTATATTTAGTCAACAAATTAATTCATTACACTTAAATACATATTAATAATAGAAATCACCAACATAAAACTACACAACAAGTCGTTAGACTACATGAAACCGTTAAGGATACAAATAATTTCACACTAATAGAAAAACATTGACCTAATACGATTGAAATTTTAAATACAGTACATATGTTGAACCATATTACAAAAATGGAGTATTAGATTACACTACCTAATAGAGTATGACTACTTAACTGTACTTCACATCTCATAATAAATCAAATACAATTAAATACAGTAAATTCATATAATTGTACTTGCATGAGTGACTAACCATTCTATCACATCATAACTCAATACAATACATGCATATAAACGTACTTGTATCACTCATACAAACAAACTTTATCACACGTAGGTTTCCATTCAAACCATAATTAGCAACCATCCAACCCTACTATATGATTCCATTCCAACCCTACTATATGTACACAAATATGATTCCATTCTAGCCAACCCTAATCAGAAACCATGAAGAAATATAAAATGGGACATCATTAAAATGAATCATGATTCGGTTTTTCATTTTAAAAAACAGAAAAAAAAACATATAATGAACCATCTAGTTCATTAAGCATAAAAACATTCTTAAATGGAATAGTATCATTACAAAAACCAAAATAACATTTTGATTTATCTAATATATGCCCAAATAGAAAAATAAATGGTTTAAAGTCTTTGTAACAGAAAATTGCAAACTTCCATCATAAAACACAAAATATAACAATGTACTTCCATTTATTTGTGTATTATAACATCAAACTTTTATCTCTTATTTTCCAAAAAAAAAAAAAAACTTTCTTATATTTCTATTATAATATTACTATCGTAGTTCACAAAAGTTTTTTATCCACATAAATGTAATGCTAAAAAAACTCTATGGGTGCAAGTAGAATTCAGTCAAAACTTTGGGGGTGTAAATATAATATCATCAACTTATCTTGTTTAAGATGTGAAATGAAATATTACATTCCACTATATTATAACTCGCGTTAAACGTGGGGAACGCATAAAAAAAGTACAAATCGTTGAAAGACATATTTGTAGACAATTTTTTATGTTAAAAAAGAATTGGATGCATTAATGGGTTAAAATGAATTTATTGAATTCTTCAATACATATATTAAACAAAATTAATATCATAAAACAAAATAAGAGATGAGTTGACGATTAAAAAAATTAAC